CTAACTTATTTTGCTGAATTTTGAAAAACTTTCTCAGTATAAATAGTGCAAGAAACTATGACTTGACACAGCTATGAAATTTCTACTTTTTCTTCTACTTTCTGCTCTGTTCCTTACGCCATGTTCTCCATTTTCAAACTTTGGCAGCTACGAAATGAGATAAGCCTTTCACCTCCATGATAAATTAATAGCTTTTAAACATGTATGATATATGTTTTAGCCATCATCGGGTAAAAAGACAATATTATCCTAATTATGGATTCCGAATGCCACGTGTGAATGTGTGGAGAGGTCATTATGGAGGATATGGAGGCGATTATAGACCATCGCCATTGCAAACCATGCTTGGAATAAGACCGCTTTAAACGCATCTTTTTCTTAATTGATCTATTCTTAAAATATGATAGCATAAAAGACTTTGTAAACTAAAATATACATTTCAAGTCGCTTGGTGAAAAACAACGGAAAACCTTTAACCGTCTGCGCACTGGAACTTGCTAATTTTCACGTTTCAGTTTCAATAAAGGCAGTATGCGGGCGAATTTTTGACCCCAAGTTTATCTTTTTTAGGCTAGTGCTGGACAAATTCATTTACCGTGAAGTGTCAAAAAAAAATTAGAAATTCTGGGCTCTTGTTAAATTGACGAAGACAAGTTGCAGCGGCGCGACATTTTCGATTTTTGTTCCCAAATGCTAGGGTGGGCTGATGTAAAAGGCGGGTAGGCGGGGGAAGGGGGGAGGGGCTGACGTAAATGTCCGGAACTTTTCTGCTATAGCGAGGCAAAGTAATCGTTTGAATTTGTGGAATAGCTCAGTTGTGGTGTCGGCTATCGTAACCCGATGAGAAAAAATCTTTAGTATTGTGTGAACTGCCTTAAGCTCCGCCTTTTCAGGGAAAATGAAGCAAATACCTTAGTTTAATTAGCTGACATAGGAATGTCAATACATATTTTTAGAATTCAATTAACTCAAAAAAGGCATTGGTCAAAAAATGACAATAGGGCCCCTCTCCATCTATTTTTTCGCCAACTGCAAGACTTACCTTCTAATATTTTGAAAGTTTCATTGTTAGTGAACTTACTAAATATTATATAAGTGTTATTTAATAATTTATATCTAAATTACATACAGTATGAGAACGACACTACTAAGCACCAAAATATTCATTTGGCAACCTTGGGTCTGACTGAGCAAAAACCCATTGCTATATCCACCAAGTCGAAGGTTGACACTTGTTCCGATGCCAGTGCCGTACATATTGCCGTAGCGACCACGATCACTAGGGAAGAAACCGAGACCGTATCCGGGACCACCGTACCCGTAAGTGCCATAACCCCAACGCTTGGCTCGATGGGATGTAGAATTTCTGCAAAACCATATAAAAT